TACATTAGAAGAATAAAAAACAAAGGAAGGATTATCTGCAGTTAACACTATCAAAAGTATCTTTTTTTCTTTTTTCTTTTTGAAAAGATGTAACAATGCAGAGAAATGAACCAAATATGTCAACAAATTAATAAAGCAATTATAAGTGAATATTCATTCATCCATTCATCTTCAGTAACTGCTCCTCAGAGTCATGGTGGATCCAGAGTATATCCCAGGGACACTGGGTGTGAGGCAGGAATACACCCTGGATGGGACTTTAGCCCATTGCAGGTCACCATGCACATACACATTCACACACTCATTCACACACTGCTTCATTCCTAGGGGTCACCAATCCACCTGCCAGCATGTTTTTTTTTTTTTTTTTTTTTTTTGGAGGTGAGAGGAACACAGAGAACATGGAGGAAACCAATGTGTACATAAGGAGAACATGTGAAACTCCACACATAGAGCAACACGAGTTCAGGATTTGATTTACTGCATAAAATCAACACTGCAGCAAATGATATATTAGCAAGTGACGATATGTTATAAGATTACTTAGACATATTTACTAATTTCAAGCTTTTTATTGGCAGTTAATCTGGCTTCTTTCTAGAAATAAACACTATCTTGAAATAAGCAAAATATTCTGCCAATAGAATATCTTGAAATAAATAAAAATATCTAGAAAAATTCCAATATATAGAAAATAAAGAGAAATAATAGTTTTCCTGTATTTAAGATATTCTAACTTATTCTGCATAGTCAGTAAATAAGAAAGTGAGAAAATGACGTACAAATTACTCTGTGCAAACTATATCAGCGACAATGAAATAACAGAAGAGCATTGTGACTTCAAATCCCAGCACCACCAATTTGCCACTGCTGAGCCCTTGAGCAAGACCTCTAGTGCCCTCTGCATGACTGACCCTGTGCTTTGACCCCAGCCTTCTAAAACACTAGGATATGTGAAGAAAAGAATTTCTCTGTACAGTACTTCTGTGACAATAAAGGCTGACTTTCTTTCTTTTTCCGTTTTTTTTTTCTAATGGAATGTTTGTTACTGCTGAATGTATGAAATCAGTTTGCTGTTGTGAAGGAGCTGAATTTTGAGTTCTATCACATTAAGATGCAGACACAGGCTCTCTGCAGAGTTTTATGACAAGCCCCCCCACACACACATCTACATGCACACACACACACACAGAGAAGGGAGAAGGGAGAAGGGATTAGAGTTATAGGAGAAGAAAAGTACTATGAAAGTCAGAATTACTTATGTAACGTTCCTGGAGAGTTCTGATAAAACAAATGGTCTGAAGGCATTAGTCTGAAATGCTGTCACACTGGGCTTTACTATAACTATAACCCTGAACAATGTCGTCCAGCCTTTACTGGAATACCTGTTGTGGAATCCCGTGTACTGCCAGGAATCAGGGCTTGAGGGGAAAAAAACTAGGGAAAAAGAGAAGAGAAGAGAGAGAGAGAGAGAGAGAGAGAGAGAGAGAGCGAGAGCGAGAGCGAGAGCGAGTTTCATTTTTTTTTCCTTTTGGAAAATGGAAATATTTTCTTCATGGAGCAATATGATAGGAGTATTTTAGTGTTGTTTTAAAAGTTGTGGCAGTCACTGTAAGCAGTGTGACAGGAAATGATTTGTTGCACTTACATCACAGTGATATGATGGAGCAAAGGTCTATCAGTAATAAAAGAACCATTCTGCAGCTGTCATCTGCAAAAGTACTACAAGAGAAGAGAAGTGCAGAAATGTGCATACGCAAGTTTGGCTTTAAACTATACTAATTAGAATAATTTTTTTAAAAAAGGTCCTCCTCTGTTACACCATGAGAATAGCACTGTAAAAGGCTTTTTTATGGCTCATTGTTGTGGTCTTTGGAGTAGAAGTATGATTCAGTTGTTGTGATGTTATGTACCATTATAGCAATGATGTGACTGTAATTTTTGGACCATGGTATCAGAAAAGTGGGTGGGTCAATTTTGTGTTTTTATTGTGTTTGTGTTGCTGTAAACAATCCACAAAAATAGATCCATTAGATTCCATCCTCTGCTATGTCATGATCTAGAAAGTGCTCACACATCTTCTCTATGTTTAGCCTGTATTAGTCTCTAAGTGGGAAATGATGCACCACGGGACACACAGTCCATTTTGGGCTTCACAGTGCTGGTCAGCTATAACAGCTAACACAATCAACTAAACATAATGTCTTCTTTTATATTTATACAGTAAAGAATCTAGTAATATATCTTGTGTTGGTTGTACAATACAACTCAATTAACAAATAATGGAGTAACTGCAGGTGTGAAAAAAAAGTCCAGAAACTAATACCAGTTTGCACAAGGCCTTTCTACACAGTTGAATAGACAAATAACAAGAATTCTTCTCATTTGTAAACAAACTGAAAAAAAAAGTAAATATGCCAAATGCACAATAAATTAGACAAATACGCAATACAATCAGAGAGATGTATCTCATTTCATAGATAAACTCAAGACCCTTGTCTTACTGTACTGAAACGAGAACGTTCACAACTAACTGACATTATTAAAAAAAAAAAAAAAGGTCCAGAAACATGGCTACAGTTTAGGAAGGCTGGCAATTGAGGCTGAAGCACTGAGGAACCCCCCTGAAGGCTAATCACTTACAGTGCTGTGCAGATGTCTTCTTTTATAATTTTTTTTTTTAAATCTTCAGCATTCATGTGTGAAATAGGATTAAATGTTAAAGAGAAATAAAGGAATGAGGAAATTAAGTAATAGAGCACTTTGGACTATGTATTTATCTAATATATAGTAATGAATAATTTTGAAGCATCTTTGTTTTTATAGATTTTATATATATGTATTTTTGACTTTTGCACTGTACTGTATGTCAAATTTCCAAATGCAAGACCTCCCCCGTATATTTAAGGTAATATATTTTACCCCAAAAGTAAAATATATTACGTTTTTTCAAGCAGCTCATCATTTTGGAGCCTAATGCTTTCAGATGAACTTTGGTCAGGGGAAAAAAATCAGTGTGAAAAAACCTTTGCTTTTTTTTTTTTTTTTGCCTTGATCCTCTTACAGTCTCCTGAGCTGTGTTTGCATAAAATGAAAGGCTTTTTAACCCCAAACAGATGCAGTTTAAATAGAGTACACTGAGGCTGATGAGTTGTCCTAGCAGAGAGAGCTTGACTGGAAATACTTTTACATTCCTAACCATCTCAAACTGACTTTATTACGTTTACACATGCTAGGCTCCCCTGTCCCTCACAGTGCATGTAACTTTATGTAAGTTTAAAAAGAACTTATTTCAGTACTAGATGGCACTAATGTAAAAAACAACTGAAAGTTTTATGTTGCAGTTCTGGGTCATTTCCAGCCTACAGAGGAAGTAGTAGAGGAGCTTGCCATGGCACTGCGCCAGCAGGACAAACATTCTCATTAGAATACAATCTGAGCACAGGGTGCCAGCCGACACACCCTCTGCTCCACTCCCCTGTCGTCATGCCTCTTACTGGAAACCTGGGCAGCTGTTCTCCTCTCATTCACCATGCAGGCTGACACCTCCTCTTGGCTTTTATTAGAATCAAACAGACAAAGCAGGCCTGTGAACACACCGCCGGTAAAGGCCTGGAATCCTTCACTCCAGGCGGTGTGACATCACTGCATCAGCCGGGTAGGCCTGACTGGCCAATATGCTTATAAATAAGAGTACATTACTTCAGCTATTTAAATGTGTCACCAGAGGCGGTCATGTTACAGAGCTCTGCTGCCATATGATCTGTGACGTGATCACATGAGGTTAAGGCTGACCTGTCTGTCTGTCTATCTGTCTGTCTGTCTGTCCATCCAGTCCTTGTATATGACTTCAGACCTAATAGTTTCAAAGAGAATGTTTAAACAAACTCGAGGGTGCTGATCGTTGGAGTAAGATGGCTGTAATGTATATAATCTGAAATGATTTATTATTGCATGTGAACTGTGTGACGTTACCACGAGAGGACGAGAGTGTGGTGTGGAAATGGACTGATGGCGTCATCGTGTGGACAGAGTGAGAAACTGTAGAGTAATATCCACTGCTGCTCTCCCACTAGAAGAGCACTGTACACAGAGCTGCCAGACCTGTGAAATTCTGGTGAAAATGTGATTCCCAGAGAGTACAATACAAGGTCTTTCCTGACTGGTCGATTTTTTTTTTTTCTTCACTTTTTAAACACGTCAAACTCATTATCAATCACAGTTTATAAGGTTTACAGGCTGAGTGACTTGTAGTAGTAATGTACGATTCACTTCAACGATTCGATTCTTTTCAACTACCAGTTCAGGTGAATCAAACAACGTGAGTTTTTATTCATTCTTTTGATTAATCGTTCAGAGCGGGATAAAAAACACATTTTTCCCATCTATCACTCATGGTGTCTGTATGATATTTTATGGATAGGAAATCTTTGGCAAAAGAAACAGCACATTTGCAAAGTACCAAAGGAATCTTTTAGACACTATAGAGCTCGTACAGTCGGTACATTTACATGATTCGCTCAGAAAAGACTCGGTCGGTAGAGTGCTACACCTCCGGAGCACAGCAGACCTGGCAACCCTGATTATCGATGATTCACGCTCTATTGTGCATGTCTTGATTTATGGTGAATGTTTATCGAATGCAGCAACACAAAGTTGAAGTTTTTGGTAAAGCGTAGGTTTTATTCTGAAACCTTTCTAACAAGATGTCTGTTTCAGTTCGGTCACTTGTGCGTTGTGTGAAGTTCCGCTGGGTCTCAGAGCGAATATATAGCGGTTATATGCGTGCAGCGGATCAGGTGAGGCTTTACCGCCCCGGCAACGCGGCGGCGCGGGGCTCAGGCGCCTGGCACACGGTGGATCTGCGCAGTGACACGGTGACTGAGCCTGGAGAAGCCATGCGCAGTGCCATGGCTCAGGCCACGGTCGGAGATGATGTGTTCGGTGAAGACCCCACCATTAATGGTTAGAGAGCACTTTTTTTTTTTTAATAACGGGATTCCTGGAGGACTAGTGGTTAGGCCGCAGCGCTCTTACTGCTGTGGCTCGGGTTCGATTCCTGGCCCGGGAACTGACCCTAGCCAGTGGGGTTGTATGCAATAGCGCACTCTCAGTGCCGGTCCCAAGCCCGGATAAAACTGGTTGCATCAGGAAGAGCTAAAAACAGTGTCAAGTCAAATATCCAGACCAATGATCTGCTGTGGAGAAATCTAACGGGAGCAGCCGAGAGAGGAACAACAGCATTAGTACTCTTTTACTAGGGCTGAACATGACTGTAAATCCGATCACAAATTGAATGAAATTAAATCTTAGCTGATATAATGATTCTTATGAGTCTCAGACAAAATGTTAAATACTTGTCAGAGCAAAGGTCTTACATGGTTCACTGAGCTCGGTGAAGTCAGGGTTGCCAAAGATTCAGGAACGACTCGTGATTTATACAGAAGGGGTTCTCAAATTTTTATAGCCACTGACCTCTTTAAATGTGAAACACACACTGAACAGATTTATTTCATGAATATTATTTAAATCTATACAGTAATCATTTGGCTATATATTAGAGCCATAGAGCTTTCAGAAGACATTAGATAGGTCTGAGTTGACATTATTTATAGGCCCACTTGTTTTCAACGATGATTTGATCCAATATGCAACATATGGACTTATTGTAAAATCAATATAATCAATATAATCTTTGTGACTCAAATAAGTTGCATTTTAATTGCCATTTGATTTCTAATCATTAACAGCAGACAAGCAAGTTGCCTAAATGTGGCCCACTTACACTCATTGGCCATTTCATCAGATACACCTACAATATAGATAACATCTGTATACAGTTAGTGACTGTAGACCATCTTTGGTTATATACAGTTTATCAGCCTACCTGAATCTATCAGTGATAAGAGATCACCATAGGACCAACATGAACAGATATTACTTAGATCATTGACCATTTTCAACACATTAGTGGCGCTGACATTTTTGTACTAGTGTTGTGCTGGTACAGCAGAGATGTTTTTTTTTTCTTTTTTCCATGAAACAGTCTATTGACCAAAAATATACAGTCAATAGTGGTGTTATGATTGGAAACTGAGATGAGTACTGGTGAAGAGTAATGGTCCAATAATATAAACTGTGCACCAAATGAGTGATGTATAATGTTTAACTGTACAAATACAAATAAAATATACAGAATAAGATGTTAAGATATAGTATGTACAACATACTATATTTTAACAGGAACGTGTTGTTTTAGGGTAATAATAAACAACTGTGGTGTTTGCAATGCCATTGCCACCTTGTAGCTGATTATTTTCTTATACCAGTATGTGTTTTTTACTCTTATACCACAGTAATTTGCCAACACTAACCATAGATACATTTAATGTTGTGGAATGTCCACAAAACAAGTTAGTTCCTGTTACAACTTGCATTATAACAACACCAACCTATGGTGTCAAAATATAGATGTTATTGCCCCTAATTTGAAAATGGATGTGTGCATGTAAGTTGCTGATTCTTTTTTTTTTTTTTTTTTTTC